TATATATATATATATATATATATATATATATATATATATATATATATATATATATATATATATATATATATATATATATATATATATAAAATTAAACCAGGCCCTCTATGGATAACAAATGTGTAATCCTGCACCAGCCATAAAAAAAGCAAAATTTTGAGTTTGATCTAAGCGTAACAGTCCAACATAAATTAGAAATCAAAAACATTGAATCCATATGCTCAATCCAAAAAACTTTGAAGCCATACACTGAGATCAATATTATAGAGAAATCAGCAGCCTTTTGAACCATAGAACATATTTACCTTGTACTCAAACCAGCAAAAACATACTTATTCATACATCATACCATAATACTAAAGTCAACCGTAGCCATAGTCCCCATCAAAGGCAAAATGTACCAATGACTTTGCCAAATTTGAACAAGGTGTCCAAGGTCTACTCCAAAATCAAGTCAGCAAGCTGCAAAAGCAAATCCTAAACCAACAAAAATAAGAACTTGAAGCAGTTGTGCAACAACAAAGACAATACATTAATCCCAAAGCAAGAACATCTAAACAACTATCCTGAAACAAAGATCAATGACAAGAAGCTCCAACCATAAACTCCGAACTTTAACACCAATGCCTTGGCATACAAGCCATCACTAAACCAAGATCAGAAGCTGCAAACCATGACACTAATCATGCACTAGCCAAGTATGACCAATTTAAACATTGCAATTGAGCCCCAATAGAAATGGCTAACTCAAAGAAAATGATAATTCTTAGGGCTGATAATACAGCCCAGTTCTGTAGTACGAGCAAAAAATCATGACACCATATGACAAAAAAAACTCAAAGACCAAGTAACAAAGTAAGGTAATTGACACCACCATATTAAAAAACAACCAAACTACAGGCTTGATTCTAAGAGCCGACAATATCCATGACAGTTCCTATCACATGCAGACACTAGTTAGCTCTTATAGTGTATTTTTGTTAGCCAAGAGGTCCAGTCTCGTTTCCAACAATATACTGTTGGCAATAAACAGTAAACAAAATGCATTTAAAATTTCTTAAAAATCACAAAGATCATCTCTTGTACAACACAAATGATAGTATGGCGTAAAGACAACTAGCTAGAGATGCACCTCTAAGTTGAATTACAGAAGAAAAATTTTAGGGATTCAATAAACAACAAATAACGATATAAGAATCATCTACTTATTTAACTATGAAATCGAAACTAATTTCATGTACATTAACAACTAGTTCACAGCACCAACTTATAGAAATTATAAATTACTAATCTTAACCAAGGATTAAGAACTAACCTTAATTAAAAGTTATCAATTAAATAAAAAATCATAAAGTTTTGTTTAAATTTTAACCATAACATATAACAACTTATCGTATAAGAAATTAGATCCCAAAACAGAAACGAAATCAATCAATACAAAGGATTAAAGATAATTTCAGATTTCTTCAAGCCAAAAAACATATATAGAGTAAAAAATACCCCAAAAAATAGAAACTAAGCACAAAATTAATACATAAAAAAAGAGGGAAACTAAAGAACAACTACAAATAGATTATACCCTTAAAAACACGCCTGGGCGTTGAATTTGGATTCGTTTATGTTGCTCGACATCACCAGATTCTCAGCATTGGTCTCCATGCCCTTTTGTTCTTCCAGCCTCCATAACCGCATCTACTTGCTACTCTAAGATTCGACCGAAGATTCATAGTCGGGAGTTGGGGTTGCAAACCCTAGCCCCTGTGTCGACTCTTTTTCCTTCGTTGCCTCACTGGTCTCGCGTCTGAAAGATCAATGAAGAAGAATTGACGCATCTTGAGGAAATTGAAGAAGATGAAGAATCGATTAGGGATTTGGAATTTGTGGATGCTTAAATGTGATGAGTGATATTAATTTGGTGGAGTGGCTATAAATTTCACTACGAATATTTACTTTTGAGTTTGTACGGGTTTGGATTTTTTAGGGACCTAGAGTATTGGGCTAGAGTTTTTTCAACAGCAACAATCTCATGTGTGGTAAAGCTCAATACACTTTAATTTTTGGAAAATGCTAGAGTGCCACCACATGGGTGCTACCATGGGTGCACCCATTCTTCGCACAGACAAACACAGACGATAATTGTCTGTGTCGCACAGACAATCATCGTCTGTGCGAAGCATGGGTGCACCCATGGTAGCACCCATGTGGTGGCACTCTAGCATGGTCCTTAATTTTTTACCACACTTAGTTATGTGCGGTAAAATAAGTGCGGCAAAATGCAAGTTTTCTTGTAGTGTAAGTAAAAACATTGTGGGAAAACAGGACACGACGTTAGTGGGTGCTTTCAACTCATAATTATTTGGAATGGTGGGGAGCTAGGCCGCCGTAGAGCTAGTCACGATGAGGGGCTGCTGGCACTCTAATAGCGGTGGTACTAGTGGTTTGACGATAAACACGGCACCGGCAGGAGCAAAAACTAGAGAACGAGAGCCATTTAGTAAGGAACAATGGAGTGCTTTGGTGGAATGCTAAAGGAGAAAGAAGTGCATCTTGATAATAAATTCTCAGGTAATTTTATTATTTTTTGGATCATAGATAGAGGAGCAAGTCAATATATGACGGGGGACGAAGGATGCATGTAAGACATCGAACAAATAAAGGCTTGCTTAGTTAGCCTGCCCAATGGAGAAAGTGCCACGTCAAATCAAAAGTGTTCATTTAAGTGAAACACTGATTTTGAAAAATTTGTTTCTTGTTCCCAAATTTAATTGCAATCTTATATCTATCTTTCAACTTCTAGATGATAAAAGACTAATTATTCACTTCATTAATAAAATTTGTGTTATGCTGGATTGTTCCTCGAAGATGGTGATTGGAACAAGTAGGCAACTCAGGAGCATATACTATTTTCTGAAGTGAAATTTGCACTAAATAGGACTAAAACATAATGACTTTCCTAATGTAGGACTTAAACTTTTTTATTCCCTAAATAGGACTTAATAATGACCTTGTGGGAGGAATAATGTCCAGTAATGATAGACATTTACTTGAATAATGACTACTTGATAATGACCAAAAGTCCTATATTGAGAAATAACAACATATAGTCCTATATTGGGAAAGTCATTATGTTTTAGTCCTATTTATGTAAATTACTCTTTTCGGAAAGGTGTGACCGACAAAGATGTCCTGTGATAGAGACTAACGATGTGGACACCTAGCATAAGCGATTATGACACCATTCTCATACTATTGTTGAACTTCTCTCTCAAGTACTTTCTTTAAAAAAACCATGTTTTCAATTCTTCTTGTGATGTTCACTTTCATTCCAAATAATGTCACGACTCTTTTCCTATTAGTTCAAATAAATATGATTTTTCTTTTTTCTCAATTCATTTGATTAATGGAGTATTTATAGAACACGATCTGGAAATGGGGAAAGATGTTTTCCAACGATTGTTGGTTTTCACGTAAATCTTGGTGTTCGTTTTTTGTTTGATTGATTATTTGTTGGTGCATTTACTATTCTTGATCAGTCATATGGTTTTGTCCGACAACACAAAGGCAAGAAAAATTATTAATTACTTCCGCTAGAAAATTAGTGATTTTTTCAATATTTGTGAAGTATAAAAAATAGTGAGAGAAAAGTATATTCTTACAGCATATTTTTTTACTATAGTTATTGGAGATATATTACTTTTTGATTTACTCCGTAATATATATTGTACGTATTAGTTCCTTCAATTCTCCGTACAAAACTTGATCTACGTACAAAAATTAAAGTGAACGAACTCATCGGATGAGACGGAATACTTGGTATACTCCGTCTAGAGAAGAACATAAAGACAGGGACCGAAAAGATTGACCGAGACCGACTAGGATTTGGACTTAAAAGATTGGGACCGAAGTAGTCCTTGAGACTAGTCTAGTCCAAGACCAGTAGTCTCAAATGTTCCTTAATATTTATAGAGGACTAGGACTAATCTAAGACTCGTAAAAGACATGTTAAAGACTTGTGGTCCGAGACTAGTAAAAGATTGGTCTAAAGACTAGGACTAGTCCAAAAAACTAGTCCTCTAGATTCTAAGTATATTACTTGTAAATTACGGAGTATATAGGGAGTAGTATATATGGAGTAATACGTATAAAAATGTTAAAAAAATAATATAGAGTATTACAAATTAGAAATGATTAATACTTCTCGGCTTCCCCTATCCCCTAAGTATTTTCTTAGAGTTTCAAGATAAACTCAAGCGTCACAACACTCTGTCTTAGAGCAGTGGAGCTAGTCCCCAGATATGTCCTCAAAGAATCAGCGATTGTGCGAGCGAAGTGCAACATGCAATCTCGACCGATGCAAAAAGAGTTGATGGACTATTTGGTAACCCCGACACAACATCGCAAAACTACTATCTTGACCCAATATGTTGGGACTAGAGACCGGACCGGATTGGACTACCGACCGGATTAGATTGGACTAGTGGTCTTATTTGGTCTTTGATTTTGATAAGAAGACCGGACTAGTTAGGACGGGGTTTTTAAAAAGACTAGCCCGGTCCAGTCTTTTACTGTAGCGGTTTTTTCCAAAGACCGGTCTAGCACTACAAAAAAAACGCGGGATTGGCACGGCTTTTGGCACGAACAACAGTTTTAGTTTCCCGTGGCTAAGCTATTAGGCACGGGTTTTGGCACGGATACGAAAGGCTGCCAATTTCGAAGCTCCAAACTGTTTGGCACGGAAATCACGTCCGTGCCAACAATAGAGACGGCGTCGCTTGTAACAAATTCGTTCCAAGGTAACGGTTGCAAGAATAACGTTAAAAATATTAGGCACGGATCTGCCCGTGGGAATCGCCCCGTTCGTATTTAGGCACGACTAAACCACGGATTTTTTTGTCCCGATAGCATTTATAAAATATTGCAATAGGCACGGTACATTTCCGTGTCAAAAAAGCCACGTAGATATCCGTGCCTTTATTTTGGAACTTTTCAAAATATTCAAAAAAATTCAAAATTTTCAAATACGCGGGGAATTATATTTCGAAATTCAATTTTTTAGTCACGGCTATATCCGTGCCTTGATTTTGTAAATTTTCAAAATATTCAAAAATTTCAAATACGCGGGGATTAAATTTCGAAATTCAAATATTTTGTCATTGGCATATCCGTGCCTTGGATTTCAAAAAAATAAAAAAATTTAATTTTGTCACGGATTTATCTGTTCCTTAGTTTTTGAAAAAATAAAAAAAAACAAAATCGAAAATAAAAAAATAATTCATAACACACCATAATTCAAATACGTAATAAATCACTCGCAGCATAATAAAGTAAAAATAAAATTAATGTCCACAATGAAAGTAATGTCTAGCATCCAAACGAAGATCACACACAAATGTTAATAAATAATTACAGATTTTCATTGTTTAGAAAACTGTTAACATCCCAGTTATTTGAATTTTGCCCCCTCGATTGAACGTTTGGCATTTGGGGGACGACTGTAGGTTGTTGAAAAACAGGCACGGGAGACATCAAGGGCTGCGAGGCACAATAATAAGATGGGGTCATATGTTGATGAAGCAAAGGGCTTGGACTTCGTGGAGGTTGCACTGTCGGACGAAGAACCTGGAAACTGAGGCCTTGGGTCAAATAATTGACCGACTCTTTCAACCCCTGAAATTGACTTAACAAATCATGGGATTGAGCCTGATATTTCTTCTCTAAATCGGCACTTTTTTCTTGAAATTTTGCTTCAAATTTTTTCTCCAATTTCAGCTCCAATTCGGTCTTCAGCCGGGCAGCGTAGTCTTCATGACTAGTGCCTCCCGAAGAAAGTGATTCCGAGGATCCAGTTTCACAGCCCCGCCCGAAGACCCGGTTCTTGTTGTTCCTCACCACCTCGACGTACAACCCAAGGTCATCTTCTAGTTCTTCCTCAGCAACATCATCAAGACTTATAGAATTAGACCCCGATCCGGATGCGGCTTGCTTCTTTAGAAGGAGCTTCTCCTTGTAGTCTTTCTCGACCTCACGCTCTTTGCTCGAAAATCCGGACTTGCCCAATACTTAACCATCGTTTCCCAGTGATTTTCTCCCACAAAACACGGCTTCTTATTTTTGTTTCGTGCATTCATGAACCTCTTCGTCAACCATACGGACCCATGGGTGTTAAAGGCGCTCCTCATGATTTTTTCAGTGTCCGCCGGGTATGCCCCAGGCAACCAGGTGTAACGAAGCTATAAAGTCATAAAATTAATTCAGTATTAGAATAAATCATCTAAGTGTATTTCAAAAAAAATACTTACACGAAACAGGTTCCACCATCGCTGACGAACTTCCTTGGGGGCGGTTGTGTAGGTATTCCACGGCCCATGAAAACTTTCTTTGATTATGCCTTTAATTGTGTTTAGGACAGCTTGTTTGCTGGAAAAAAAATTAAAAACTTAAATACTCATACAAATAATAAATGAGATAATAAAATGCAAAAAATTACCCCTTCAGTTCGGCCTTAGTGATCAAGCGCGGAAGATCCCCGTACGGCACTGCACTAGCCTCCGTTGAAACTCCGTCTCCTCCTTCGCCGCCTCCTCCGCCCTCGCCCTCGACCTCGACCTCAGCCTCCAAGTCGCCACCGGCATTGAATATAGACTGAGGGGTAGTGGTAGATGGCGATTCCGATGGTGCTCGAGAGTGAGAACGCTGAAAGCTTCCCCTACCGCGAATGCTACCGCGGAAGGAAGTGCTCCTTGTTGAAGACATTGATAGGAGAATGGGTTGTGAGGGAGGAGGGCGGAGGAGTTACGGCTTTGGAGAAAGAGAATAGTAGGAGGAGCGGAGTGGGTAATGAAAAAACGGGGAAAAAGTGTTAAGGGGCGATTATATACTTAACATTTGGCACGGCGTTACGCACGTCGAAATCCGTGCCTACACCGAGCAGTAAATACGCGACAGTTTGAATAATTACGTAGGCACGGCCTTTTCCGTGCCAAACACATTCAACTCTTTGGTTTTTGGGGCTACATTAATAGCCTCTGCAAGTGTGTCAGTCTTTTTTATTGGATCAAACTTAGGCACGGCCACACCCGTGCCTAATGGTGTGCATTAATTACGAAATGTTTGGGTTATTTCGTAGGGACGCCCTTATCCGTGCCAAAGAAATATCTCTGTAATTGTGTCAGCCTTTTTGTGTTGTAACGCTTGTTGGCACGGCTATAGCCGTGCCAAAACTCAAACCATAATTATTGCAAGTTGAATAAAGATATAGGCACGACTATTTCTGTGCCTACACCGTTGTATAGCTTACTGTGCTGCAAGGGTTTTATCAACTTAAATTCGTACGAAAAAAGTAAAATATTTAGTTTTACTCTTCGGTCCTTAAAAAATTGTCATAGTTTGATTTTTGTGTAATTATTTCATTTTTATCACGAATTTAATTTTTTTTAAAGTTTTAAATATTACAAAAAATTAATATTTCAAAACTTTATTTTAAAGTAAATCTAATTTTATTAAATTTATATTATAAGTAAATATACTATTTCCATAATTTATGGTGAAAAAGAGTCTTTTAAGAACAGAGAAAATATTAAAATACAAACTGTAGCATATAAAAATAGGAAAACTTGCAATTTGAAATATTAGTCGGACAATAGCATATAAAAATCCAATGAAAAGAAGTACGAAAATTACATCATTCACTCTCATAATCATCATCAATATAAACTTCGTCTTCTTCAGTATCTTCACCATAGATCCATTCCTCTTCTTCGAAATCATTAAGTAATTCTTCCACTTGAATTTCACCCCCATTAGTATCTTGCAAAAAAACACCAACTTGAGTTGTTTCAACAATTGGGGGCGGTTGAAAAAACTCTTGTTGAAATGCTTCAAAATCAACTTCTCTCGCGGTTGCATGAGTAATGATTTTTCGTGGTCGAATGGAACACGCACAAAGCCAGGGAGATGCACGTTGACGAGTCGATGGATACTTGGCATAGTAAACTTGTGCACCTTGTTGCGCCAGAATAAATGCTTCATTTTTCCGATATATCTTTGATTCATTAACATCAACAATATTGAACTTAGGATGCTTTCTCACACCATGTATTGGGTCAATCCAAGTGCATTGAAAAAGAACAACTTTAAATTCCTTTGAGCCCGCAAACGTGAACTCAAGTATATCATCAAGAGTGCCGTAAAAATTAGTTTCGCTATTGTCGTAACTACATGTCGGGACACAGATACCACTGTTCATTGATTGACGACCCTCTCCATAACTCAAGGTGTGGTAATTATAACCATTCACAAAATATCCAGGATATGTTTTAACCTGGCTTGAAGGACCCCATGCTAATGATTCAAAAAACCAATAATAAGTTCCAGGCGCTGCACTAGTTATCTGCATATGGTAACACATGGAATGAGATATTTGTGGCAAAATATAATAATTAAGAGGAATTTAGTTATATTTTTTAATAAAAACACCTTTTCTTCGAACCACTCTGCGAACTTTGAATCAACTAAAAGATCCACATCCTCTTGTGAGTAAGCAAATAGACTATCCCGAAATTCACTACAATTAATAAATGCATTAGTAGTAGCAGGCGTGCATTTAATTAACAACACAGAAGGAGTCGTTTAGAAAATATCTTACCAATAAAATGGCTTCACCTCCGGACAACTAACAAGAATGTAGGTGTGCGCGATGCGGTATAAATCTCCTGTTATGTATCGACTCGCATGTTTAGTATACCCACGACCGGGATAGTTAAAAATCGAAAATGAATCAGAACCATCTCCAACATTGTCATTCCTCGCAGGTCTTTTACGCCTAGAAACTACACCAGTCTCAAAGTAATAAGATGCAAATGTTGCAATCTCCTGCGTTACGTATGCCTCGCAAATTGAGGCCTCTACATGTGCTTTATTTGTGACCTTTTCTTTAACTCTCCTAATTTCCTACAAATGTAGAATAAAAATTAAACAATTTCATATAATTACTAATGTAGTATTAATAATCATAAAAAATAAATTAATTCATATAATTATTATACTAACCTCTCGAAACAGTACATCCATCTATAAAAAACAGGGCCAGCCACCTTGGTTTCATATGGAAGATGAATCAGAAGATGTTCCATGGAGTCAAAAAATGACGGTGGAAAAACCTTTTCCAAGTTGCACATTATCAATGGGAACTTCATCACTGTGTTGAATATGTTATCAAAGACATTCTTCTCAATATGCATGACATCCAAATTATGGCGTATTAGTAAATCCTTCCAATATGGTAGGTCCCAAAATATACTCTTCTTCGTCCACTTATGATCTGTACCATATCCAATAGGGTCGTTTATTGGATTATCTACAGAAGTATCAAATTCACGCACTCTCTCAAATATCTGTGATCCGTTTAAAGTAGGTGGTGGAGAGTCACGCTCGACTACGCCTTTGCGAAATGATTTCTTGTCTCTGCGGTAGGGATGATTGTGGGGTAAAAAACGCCTGTGACAATCAAAGTAACATGGTTTTCTACTATGTTGCAGGTAAAAAGATTTTGACCATTCCATACAAATGGGGCAACCTTTTAAACGAGCGGTACTCCACCCAGATAGCATACCATATGCAGGAAAATCACTAATTGTCCAGATCAATGCTGTCTTCACATTAAATACCTGGTCTCTCGACACATTGTACGTGGGGACTCCATCATACCAAGAACGTCTTAAATCCTCGATAACCGGTTGCATATATACGTCTAGACGTTTTTTGGGATTGTGCGGTCCAGGACAAATTAAAGTTAGGAACAAAAACTCACTACGCATACACATGTCAGGCGGTAGATTATACGGTGTAATCATCACAGGCCAACAAGAGTATTGGGCTCCAAACTGTCCATGTGGGGCAAATCCGTCCGTGCAAAGGCCTATACGTACATTGCGCGGTTCACACGCAAAATAGGGATGACAACGATCAAAGTGTTTCCATGCTTCAGAATCTGACGGATGACACATTAACCCAGGTTCA